TACTAATGTTAATTTCGTTATCTATGCAGTCCGTAAGAACCCTCACCACCCAGTCACTTCCTAAAGGTCTGCTCTCTCAACACTGTGGAGAGGGCCAAGTTCCAAACACGCCAGGTCTCATTTCTTTTATTCCAGTGTTGTGTGAATTTTCCTGGGGAAACAGCCAAAGAAACAACTCCACTCAAGCCTAGCTTGATGAAGTAGTGAGTTTATAGGCGCCCCTTACAGGCCCATGGGTGACTCAAAGTCAATTGCATGACTAAAAAGCCCACTCCAGCATTAGGGAGAATTTACAAAAGCTGTTTCCCTGGGGCTCCCTGATCAACTTGCAGACAGTTCCACTAAGAGTCCTTTCTCTCCTCAAATGATTTACTGGTTTTATGACAGTGAGGAGAGGCTTTGAAAATCTTGTAACATTCTGAATTTACTGAGCCTGATAACTGTCACTAGTTCCTTGAGTCTTAAAGCCCTCTCTCCTCCTTCCTGGTTCCTTCTTGAGGGAATGTTTCAATTCAGAAGACATAGATACACAGTACTATTCTATTACAAACTCCATAGTATGTATGTTCCAGAGGAAATTTCTGGAAGTATGGTTATCAGCTCAAAACTCAATCAAATGCTGCTTTGTTGCCAGACCAATCTAGTTTAATCACCTTGTGTTCAGGGGCCCCACCTAGACTCATTTATTTCCTACCATACATCTAAATACTTGAGATGCCTGGCCTGTCAGGCATCCTGCCATTCAATAAACAATAGTGACAATGTCCCTGCTAAGTGCCAGGCACTGGGGTCACACTCCCAGACTCTTGAGAACTAGCAGAGAGTAGTACAATCTATCGAGGAGGGCTCAGATACCAAAGAGGACATTCTAAAAAAAAAAAAAAATTAATTAAAACAATAATAGTTACTCAAAATGGGTTGGATAATTAAACAAAAACAACACAAAACAAAAAGCCCACTAGAGGTCAAGAAAGGATCAACAGAGGAGACAATATTTAAAATTAGGCTTAGGTTTGTTTGCTCTGGAGGATCTGGCTGGGGCATGGAGAAGGGGAGGAATTGATGAAAAGTGTCCAACGTAAACATTGTGAGCCTCCAACCGCAGGTCTGCTGGGGCCACAGAAGGGCCAAATGTGGCTGAGAGGAAGGTGAGGTGAGACTGGGGAGGAGGTTAGCTTGTCAGATATCTGTGGTCTCAGGACTGACACATGTCCCTAATTTAGGTCTCAGCAAAAATGTTGCCACCCTTTGGGCTGGTGAGATAGCTCACTGAAGAGAGGAACTTTCTGTCAAGTCTAACAACCTGACTTCGATCCCAAGACCAACATGGTAGGAGTGAACTGATTCTCTCAAGTTCTCCTTTGCCTTCTATACATGTACTGTGACACATGCATACACAAGCACACTGAAATAAATTTTAAGTGCTAAAAATAAGCATCATCTCCCCCAGAGGGCATACCTTTTTCATACTCTGCCTAAAGTAGTCGCCCCTCCAATCCCCAGTACCATCTTCTCAACCTGCTCTAATTTATATTGTATTTAGAGCACCTACCCATCTGGAATTTTCTTTTTTTTTTTTTTCAGGAACTGGTATTTATTATCAAAGTCATATTCGATGTCAACAAGATACCACAACTACAAAAAAATTGCGCACATTGCAATCTCAATGCAAACAGTCAAATGGAACCCCAATCATTAAAAAATTAATTCAAATTACCCCAAAAAGCAACTGAATTTTTTAAACATCTTTATACATCCAGCCAACAAATTAAAATGGTTAACAAGAAAAAATACAAATTCAGAGGTCTGGTACTGATGTTTAAAAAAGGCAACTGCTTAAGCATTTCTATCAATTCGAACATCAATCTTTCGGCCACTCAGCTTCATGCCATTCATCATCCGGCAGGCTCTCTCAGCCACCTCTGGAGACTCAAACTTAACCACACCGCACCCCTTGGACTTTCCGTTCTCCATCTTGATGTCGGCGTACAGCACGTGGCCACATTCATTGAATTTGTCCTTTAGCATCTTCCATGTAAAATCAAATGGGAGATTTCTCACAAATATCTGGCAGGCCTTTCTGGCTACTCCAGGTGCATGGCCTCCAGCTCCACCAAAGGAACCTGCGAAGCTTCCTCCAAAGTTGCCCCGCTCCATCTCAATGGCTCGGTCAAAGCTAGCACCGCCAGCGCCACCCATGGCCAGGCCCATTCGCTCAATACCAGCGCCCAATGCTGGGCCCATGGCAGGGCCCATACGTTCCAGGCTGTTGGCGCCCATTCACTCCAGGCCCATGCGCTCGAGACTGTTGGCTCCCATGCGCTCAAGGCCCATGCGCTCCAGGTTGTTGGCGCCCATGCGCTCCAGGCCGGTGGCCATACGATCCATCACAGGACCCATGCGCTCCAGGCCGGCCCCCATGCCTGTGGGCACCATTCGATCCATGCTTAGGCCCATGCGCTCAATGGCAGGACCCATGCGCTCTACACCAGAGCCCATGCGCTCAATGGTTTGGCCCACAGGGTCAATGGGTGCGGCCATGCGCTCCAGGCTGAAGCCCATGCCGGCACCCATGCGCTCCACACCAGAACCAATACGCTCCATGGTCTGGCCCATGCGCTCAATACTGGAGGCCACGTGGTCAAGGCCTAGTGGGCTCATGCGCTCGATGCCGGAGCCCATGCGCTCAACTGAGCCCATGCGGTCCATGACCAGGCCCATACGCTCAATCTCAGAGCCCACTCGATCCATGCCATGGCCTAAGCTTGCGCCCATGCGCTCCATGCCAGCACCCCTAATGCGGTCAATGCCAGGGCCCATCCTCTCGATCCCTGGGACACTGCCTCCAGCTCCACCTCCTCCTTGCTTTGCAATGATCTCTCCCCTCTTCAGTGCATTACTTAGGATTTCTTTGACTGCAGGAGACACGTGAACATCTGCCTCCATTTTCCCTTCTCTCTCGTTCCTCTGGAATTCTCTTATTGTTTATGTGCCCATCATTCCATAGACTGTAATCTATGTCACTGGTTTTTTCTCCATCTCATTTCTGCCTCTTAAGCCAATTAGATCACAATAAAGATTTATTTTGGCTATATTTTGTGTGATTGTAGAATTGGGCAGAACTTCATTCCATGAGCCAGAATGCATTTTGATGGCTTGGAAAGAAACGATTTCCTAGACAGGAAGCAGAATAAAACAAACAAAAAGTACTGAGTATGTTTTCCTTGAGAGGTTGGGAGACAAAGAGGGAAGCACAGAGAGCTAACTGGTTAATAGATCAGATTTCTCCAGCTTACTTTTCAGAAGGACAGCGGCAAGCAGACCATAGTTATCATGCTTTCTGTGATTGGCATGGCTAGGAAATGTGACCATTGCTTCTTTCTGTCCTGATTTCTTATAAGGTCAGAAAGCTAGTTTTAATTTGGTAACATAGAACTCCAATATGACTGATACTATTTTAGTTTTAATTTATCTACTTACTTTTTTGAGACAAGTTCTCAATGTGCCATTAGGCCTAGCCTATTTATTTATTTTAGTGTGTGTGTGTGTGTGTGTGTGTGTGTGTAGGTTGGAAGATAATATGCAGAAGTCAATTCTCTCCTTCTGCTATGTGGGTCTTAGGGACTGAACTCAAGTATCAGGCTCATCAGCAGGTTTGGTCTTTAGTAGAGGAAACAAAAGAAGTTGGTAGGAGGCAGAGAACAATTAGTATAACAAAATATCTGATACTTTAAAGAAAAAAGGGTTCTCTTGGCTCAAAGTTCTAGAAGCACAAGGTTCAAAAAGAATGACACAGGCAATGTCTAGGGCTTCTTCCTTGCTGGTGTCACATTACTATGGAAGTCGTTCATTTGTGCCTATTCACTCTTTCTCTATAAGAACACTACCAGGATTCTTGTAATGTCTTATTCTAATTCCAAAGATCGCACCTCTAGATGCCACAGGTTTTGTTTTGTTTTGTTTTGTTGTGTTGTGTTTTTCGAGACAGGGTTTCTCTGTGTAGCAGCCCTGGCTGGCCTGGAACTCACTCTGTAGACCAGGCTGGCCTCGAACTCAGAAATCCGCCTGCCTCTGCCTCCCAAGTGCTGGGATTACAGGCGTGCGCAACACCGCCCGGCTAAATGCCACAGTTAAGCCAGATAGTGGTGACACACTATCTTTGATTTCAGCACTCAAAGCAGAGACAGGAAGATCTTTGAGTTTTAGGCCAGGTCTACAGACTGCGTTCCAGGATAGCCAGGGACACACATACACACACACACACACACACACACACACACACACCCCTGTCTCGAAAAACAAAAACAAAACCACAGAAAAACACCATAGTCATGTTAACTTTCCACTCTGTTCACAGCCCTGACTGCCTTGGATTAGACCTCACTATATAGTCCAGGCTGGACTTGAACTCTGAGATCCGCCTGCCTCTGCAACCCAGTGCCTGTGCTTAAAGACTTGTGCGAACACACGCATCAACTTTCCATTCTTTTAAATATTCACATAAGACGCTGGGAATTAAATTCCCTCGAGTTTAGAAAATAGACTATATTTAAACAGTAGCAGACAACAAAGCCAGTGACTTGCCCGAATTCCCAGAGAATTCTAGGCAGTGTTAGTTTCTTTATTCATTTGTGCTTTATTTACGGGGTCACATTGTTTCTCAAAAGGCAGCCAAGGAACACAGGTCTCAGAATCATGCCTACAGACTCTAAGGCAGACCCTAGGAATTTGCATTTTTACAAGCTCCTGAGAAATCTGTCCCGCACACAACGTTTCAAAGACTAGTGTTCCCTGGGTGACAGCAGCTCCGCCTCAAAACAGCCTCTGGCCAGATTCCAAGGTTTAAGGTCTCCGCAGCCTCATGGGAACTGTAGTTTCTGCTCTCCTTCCTGCCTCAGGCCTCTTGGAGGGCTCGCCGGAAGGAGCCGAGCCAATGCGGAAACAGCCGAGTGTTTCGAGGCGGGCCTTTTCCTGCTCAGTTGCATGCTGGGAAAGGACAGTTTCCGTTAGCTGCAGAAGGCTGAGGCGCGCCACCGGCCACCTCCCCACGTGAAGCAGTTGTGCGAGCATCGCCACGCCGGGCAGCTGTCTACCCGCGTCCGAGCGCTCCGGAAGCGGCGGGGGACCGGAAGTGGCCCGCGGAGGCTGCAGAGCTAGTCCGGGAACCCGCTGTGAGGCGACTGGCAGCAGCGCTACGACGGCGCCATGTCCCTGATCTGCTCGAGTGAGTGCTGGCTGCGGCGGGAGGCGGGAGCGTGTGCGGCGGCTGTGACTCGGGCCCCGGAGCCCCCGGCCCTGCGTGCAGGGTGCATTTGCGCAGTGCTACGCAGTTCACGTACCTGGGAAGAATGACTGTCTCAAGGGTCTTTTGAAACCATCGGCGTTTTACAGAGCTGAGACAGGCCTGAGCAGAAGTGGGGGGAGGAGCTGGTGCAGTGAAAAACAGCTCTTGGTGTCAAAAACCCGAGGACGTGTCCAGGATTCGCCTCCGATTGTGATCCGGGCTCTAGCGGGTTTGGGCCTCAGTTTCCCCATCTGCAAAATTGAAAGCATTGCAGTGGATATTGCTTGGGAAACCTCGCTTAGGAATCGGAGTTTCCGATTTGCAGAGATCACGCAGTGACTTCGAGACAGGGCTGAAAGCCAGGTGTCTGGCTTCTAGCCTCGCGCAGTATGACTAATGAAAACAGCGAATGTTTAGAAAACCTGTATTGATTTACGATGCATTTCCAAACGGTGATCTCATTTTATCCTTACAAGAATTGTCTGAAGGGAAATAAAGATCCGTGAGTTACAGAGGGTGTCAGAAGTCTTGAAGAATGGGTTTATCCAGGGATGTGCAACAAAACTAAGCGATGGAGCTCGGTTCTTTGAGCTTGGATCCATGGTTTTCCCATGCAGTATACTGTCTTGTCTTTGGGTGTTATATTACGGCATTGCGGGTGTTCTCCCATCTTGTTTACCACAGTACTAGTTTCCTCACCCTCTCTATTTCCCTCTCAGAATGTTGCCATTAGTTCAGAGAGGGCAAGGAAGGAGGGAAATAACAAACAGAAAAGAAAATCTCATACTGAAGAAATTGCAGGTTGCAAAGTATTTACAAACGATTTGTTTTCTTTTCATCTTTGAGACAACACTCTTACAAGCCCAGGGCTATCCTTCCTCTGGTAGGAGAGGGAAAGCTCCCAGAAAGCTTCAGTCGTTGAGTAGTGAGATAAACCAACAGAATAGAACAGGAAAGCCATATACAAAATTTGGATTTTAAGTATGGAGCAAATCCATACTTAATCACATATGCATGGGAGTCCTGCAAAAATAGGTGACTCTAAGGGAAGCCACAGGGAAGAATAGGAGCTTGAAGCCTTGGAATGGTGACTCACAACTTATGGGAAGGTGAATAGAATTATGTGGTGAATAAGAACTGTTTTGTGCTGGGCTATGGTGGCACACGCCTTTAATCCCAGCACTTGGGAGGCAGAGGCAGGCGGATTTCTGAGTTCGAGGACAGCCAGGGCTACACAGAGAAACCCTGTCACGAAAAAACAAAAAAAAAAAAAAAGAAGAAAAGAAAAAGAAAAAAAAAAGAACTGTTTTGTGATGTGATAAGTCACTATCTTAGAGCAGCCTTCAGAAGAGTGAATGTGGAGGTAGCTTCCACTTGTCTGCTATGAACCAGTTGTCCCTGTTTAGGGGAGGTAGAGAAACAAGAGAGTCTGAGAAGGTCAGAGAGATCTTGGTTCTGACCCTGCTTTGGGGGCCTTCATTTTTTTTTTTTTTTTTTTTTTTTTTTGGTAGTTCAGCATGCCTAGGGCTCCATACTTTGGGATATTCTTTTCTGAGCCCCAGTACTTTTGCACTCATTTACTCTGTTCTGATGTTTATCAAGTGTCTGCTTAGTGTCGGCATTGTCCTGGAGGTCAGTGACAGCTGTAACGCACATCTTCAAGGGTACGCAGACTATTCTGTCAAGCGCTTAGAATAGAATCTTGCTTGGCACGAAGTAGCAGAGCTGTGGAAAGTGTTTGTTTCCTTATTTGTTTGTTTTTAATTTATCAGCGCTTGTCACATTACTTTGTAATTTCTCCTGTTGATCTGTCTAGGGCTCCAGATGGATGTCAGAGGTTTGAGTTGTGCTCTGTTTACTTCTCTGTCACATGCCTAGTTGTTTGGGTCCAAAAATGAGATGGGCAGGACTTACTAACCACTCTATACTGTACTGGCACATAGGATCTGGGCAGTTATTATTTATTGACTTTTATTATCAGCAGACCAGAGCCTCTAGCTAAGTAGTTGGCAAGCATTGTAGGACCAAGTACAGGCAGGATTGCTGCCACAGACCTTGTTTCCCAATAGCTGACTATGAGGATAGGGTCTTGGGGCTGACACAATGAAGAATCTCCTCTAGCTCAAACCCCCTTTTATCCTGTGCTCACTACCTGTCTTTCTCTATAGTCTCCAATGAAGTGCCAGAGCACCCATGCGTGTCCCCTGTCTCTAATCATGTGTATGAGCGGCGACTCATTGAGAAGTACATTGCAGAGAATGGCACAGATCCTATCAACAACCAGCCTCTCTCAGAGGAGCAGCTCATCGACATCAAAGGTGCCTGCCCAAGAGCCTCAGTCCAAGGCCATCTCAGCTGAGCCTTCAAGAGTGGGAGGTGGAGCCAATCTGGTGGAGAAGATGGTGGCTGTGAGTGGGGAGGGGGAGAATTCCCTGGGTTCTAGTTCTTCATTCCTGCTTTGCTGCGTCTCTTGGCAGTTGCTCACCCAATCCGGCCCAAGCCTCCCTCTGCCACCAGCATCCCAGCCATTCTGAAAGCTTTGCAGGATGAGTGGGTGAGTCCTGTGAAAAGAATGTACCTCTGGGCTAGAACTGAGGATTGAGAAGATGGGGCCTCCCTCCTTTTTTTTTTTTTTTTTTTTAATTTAATTTTATGTGTATGGGTCTTTTGCTTACATGTATGACTGTGTATTACTTATGAGCCTGGTGCTTGGGAGGCAGGGAAAGGGTTTATGATACCTTGGAACTGTAGTTATAAACAGTTATGAACCACCATGTGGGTTTTGGGAATTGAACCTGGGTCCTCTGGAAGAACAGCAAGTGCTCTTAATTCCTGGGCTCTCTTAACTCCCTGCCCTCTTATTGTCTTGAGATAGGACTTTGCTTTGTGGCCTAGACTGGTCTGAAACTTGTGATCCTTTTGCCTCAGCCTTCTGGTGCTAGGATTATAAGTGCCAACCACCATGCCTGACTCTTGGGGGTGATGAACACAGGGTTAATGTAATCCATGTACCACTGAGCAGCCCCTCATTTTGTGCCAGCCTTATTTCATTTGTGAGGAACAGGATGGCAATACAAGAGGCGCCTGGTTGTTGGAACTCTTTTTTTTTTTTTTTTGGTTTTTCGAGACAGGGTTTCTCTGCATAGTCCTGGCTGTCCTGGAACTCACTCTGTAGACCAGGCTGGCCTCGAACTCAGAAATCCGCCTGTCTCTGCCTCCCAAGTGCTGGGATTAAAGGCGTGCGCCACCACCGCCCGGCTGGTTGTTGGAACTCTTGAAGACCTAGATCCTAAAGTTTTCTCCACGGTCAGCCTTTGTGACTTTGGACACATTGCTCAGTCTCTGAGGCTTGACTTCCTGACTACAGGACACTCATTATCACTGTCTATCTGGATTCTGTAAGACGGAGAATACAATTGACATATTTGCCTTGTGACACCAGAGACTCTTTCATTACTAGGCTCTACATTTGCTGAGGGTAACCAATAAATAACCACAGCAGTGTAATTATTTCTTTTCAGAGAGATGAGGACATTAATACCTGTAATCTGCTAGTAAATAGCAAAGGTGGGGGTAGGAAAGAGCTACCCCCCCACTCTGTGTGTGTCCAGGGTGTGGTGTGGGGTAGGAGCCTGAATGCCGTACAGGGCATTTAGGGTCACTCAGATGTTGGCTTGGGTCTCTGATTAGCTCAGGTTGGTTTCAGTGTAGAATAGGAGGTGGTGTCCTCTTCTCTAGGGTTGGCCGAATTCTCCGGCTCTCCCCCAGTCCTCACAGTGGCCTACCCTCTCCCAGGATGCAGTCATGCTGCACAGCTTCACTCTTCGCCAGCAGCTGCAGACAACCCGCCAGGAGCTGTCCCATGCTCTGTACCAGCATGATGCTGCCTGCCGAGTCATTGCCCGGCTCACCAAGGAAGTCACTGCTGCTCGAGAAGGTCTCTTGTATTCCCTGCTGCTCCCCACCTTCTGCTGGCCCTGCTTTGTAATGTTCATTTCTAACATCATCTTTTCTCTCAGCTCTGGCTACTCTGAAACCACAGGCTGGTCTTATTGTACCTCAGGCTGTGCCAAGCTCACAGCCCAGTGTTGTGGTAAGTGTTCCCTTCCAGGCCCCAGTAGCCGTCCTTTACACAGATGTTTTTGGTATCATGAAGCCCTCCCACTCTCCCTTTCTTTTCTACAGGGTGCAGGAGAGCCCATGGATTTGGGTGAGCTGGTGGGAATGACCCCTGAGATTATCCAGAAGGTGAGTCATGGGCTCCTCTGATTGGGACTGCAGTCCCTCCCTTAGTTACTGTAGGCATTGGGAACCTGTAAGAATCTCTCACAATAGGCAGTATGGGGAGCCTGCACTGCCAGCGGAGAGCTTTCTGATGAGGCTTACTTTAGTCTGGCTTTCTGTGTCTCATTTCGTTGACTTCTGACTAGAATGAGGTGTGTGTACTTCACAGGCTTGTTGTGGGAAAGATTTAATTACTGATAAAGGCAGTTTCTAGCTCTTTCAGATATTATGATCTTTCTTGATATTAAGCCATTTTGTTACAGATTTTGAAGATTTTGCCTTAGAATAAGAGTTATCTTAAGATGAGAAGTCTGAAGTATCAAGTCGGACAGCTGAGAAAAGGCAGAGCAGGCTTCTAGACTGTAGCTCAGGGTTCTGTTGAATGTAGTCTTCATTTGTGGGTCCAACAGACTGTGAGCAGCTCATCTGAGCTCTCATGTTTGTAGCCTAGATCTGGTCTCAGAGCACTAAAACCTAGTTCCTGTCCCTACCTGCTCTGGCAAGGGAGTTCAGTTTTCTCAGCTGTACCATAAGGTCATAGATACCTCACCTTATAAGATGAGAGTGGAAATGTGTCAGCTTTTATCCCTTAATTTGGCAGATAGCATATTTTTGATGATGCTTATGATACCAGATGCGACTAGCACCCAGTGTGCTTTGTTCTTGCAGAATTATTTTTCTCACAATATTATTTATGTTCTCCACAGCTTCAAGACAAGGCCACTGTGCTAACCACAGAGCGTAAGAAGGTGCGTTGTTGCCTGCTGTGAACACTTGCCTTCTTGGAGAAAGTGCTGGTTGAAGCCTGCTTTCATTGCTGCTCTTTGGGGTATTTTTGTTTTCTCAGAGAGGAAAGACTGTCCCTGAGGAGCTGGTGAAACCTGAAGAGCTTAGCAAGTATCGGCAGGTGGCCTCCCATGTGGTAAGTGACTGAAGGTGGCCCAGCCTGAGGAGTCATGGGAAATGCTACTTAGGTCCCTGGCACAGTGTCTGGCCTTGGCTGCTCTTCTGTCCTGCCATGCAGTGGGGGAATTGGTGTATCCAGGCAGCCAGCCAAGCTGGATGGATAAGGGATAGAATTCATTCTTGTTTCCTGGCTGGGGAGGACTATGAGGGATGTGGGGAAGGGGAGTGGAGGAGCTGTTTGTCTTGGATTTGGCTGTGACTGGGTTTCATGTGGCTCTGTCTACAAAGGGGCTACACAGTGCTAGCATTCCTGGGATTCTCGCTCTGGACCTGTGTCCCTCAGACACCAACAAGATTCTCACTGGTGAGTCTGGTCCTGGCCTGATAGCCAAGATGAGGGATGGCAGGACCCAGGGACAGTACAAGCCCTTGGTCCTCTGCAGAAATACTTTCTGTAGCCCAGGGTACTTAAAGGCCTGGCTCATTTTTGTCTTCTTTGGATCTTCTCCAGGTGGGGCAGATAAAAATGTTGTTGTCTTTGATAAGAGTACTGAGCAAATCCTGGCCACTCTCAAAGGCCATACCAAGAAGGTCACCAGTGTGGTGTTTCATCCTTCTCAGGTAAGGCACTCTTGCAGTTACCTAGGTCCAGTTCCAGTGGTTTTGAGTCTCAGAGCTAATGGCCCAATCCCTAGTGTTTTGAAGAAGCAGGCATTGATAGTCTCCATGATGACTCCCAAAACAGTGGCTCTCAAACCAAGGGAGAAAGTAAATGCCACCACAAATAAACACCCTAGAGTGTTTCTAGATAAACTACAGATGGCAGCACGGCTCCAGGTAGTTCTGACTGCCAGGTGTCTGTTCCCAGGTCAAAATTTAACGCTGACTGTTGAAAGTGGTGTGAGTTCAAATAGATGAGAGCTCTTGGCTTAGAGGATAAAGGTAGCTTATTAGACGGAATTACTGGCTTCATAAGATTTGAGCTAAGGATACAGTGTCTTGGTATGCTGCTACCTCAGGTACTGGAGCGCTGCCTCCCAGTTAGTCTTTCTCTTCAGACATTATGTTTTAGTCAGTGTTCTGTTGCTGTAAAGAAACACCATGACCATGGCAACTTTTATAAGAGAAACCATTAATTGGGTGCTTGCTTACAGTTTCAGAGGGTCAGCCCATTATCGTGGCAGGGAGCATGGTGGCAAGCATGACACTGGAACAGTAGCTGAGAGCTACATCCTGATCTGAAAGGAGACAGATAGACAGATACATGTGCACACACACAGACAAACACAGGTGACATACTTCCTCTGATAGGGAGGAACATGGCCCGTGACCCTGCATCTGGCTCAGTGCTGCTTTGATCTGGGCCATCGAGTACAGTCATCTTTAGCTGCGGGTGGCACATGACTGGTCCCTCGGTTGCACTAGCCATATCACCCAGCCTGAAAATGGGCCCAAAATAGCTCTCTGATGCGGTTGTCCTATAAGTAGTGAAGATCTGCCAGGCACTGGTGGTGCACGCCTTTAATCCCAGCACTTGGGAGGCAGAGACAGGCGGATTTCTGAGTTCAAGGCCAGCCTGGTCTACAGAGTGAGTTCCAGGACAGCCAGGGCTACACAGAGAAACCCTGCCTCGAAAAAAAAAAAAAAAAAACAACACCAAAAAAAAGTTGTGAAGCTCTCACTTAGCCTAGTGCTGACTGTTTCAGCAGCACTGTTTTCCTTGGCTTCCTTAGGCTTTGTTGCTTAGATAGATGGTTATAGGCAGGACTGGGCTAGGACTTGCTGGCAGTTGTGGCTGTCCTCATTGTTCTAGAAAGAGTGTTACAATGCATCTCACCTCTTGGACTCTGATTCTTGCTCTCTTTCCTTTCAGGAACTGGTGTTTTCTGCGTCCCCTGATGCTACTATCAGGATTTGGTCGGTCCCAAACACTTCTTGTGTACAGGTTGTTCGGGCCCATGAGAGTGCGGTGACAGGCCTCAGTCTCCATGCTACTGGAGACTATCTGCTGAGCTCCTCTGATGATCAGGTGCAGTCACAGCCAGGGGCCCTGAGGAGGCTGCTTCCTCATCCTGGGAAGAGGGGCCATCTTTCTGGGGGCACTCAGGTTCCCAGAGTTCTGGAAATGTTTCTTCTCTGTGAGAACTAACTCTGCTAGCGGGTACTGAAGCAGGGTCTGTCTTGAAGGCCACCAGACCCACTTTTCCATTGACTTTTCTGTCTCATTTCCAGTACTGGGCCTTCTCTGACATCCAGACAGGGCGAGTGCTTACCAAGGTGACAGATGAGACTTCCGGCTGCTGTAAGTGACTGTAGAGGCACTGAGCTCTTTTGTTTGCAGTTTGTCAGTACGGTTCATTTAGTCATTGGGTTGTGTGTTCTGGAGACAGTGTTTACTGGCACCAGTATAGTGTCACACCTGTATTGGCACAGTGAGGAATGAAGAGCTCTCACTCGCCCACCCTTCCTGCAGCCTGCTAACTACAGATCCCTCTCCCTTTTCCTCAGCTCTTACCTGTGCACAGTTCCACCCTGATGGGCTCATCTTTGGAACAGGAACCATGGACTCCCAGATCAAGATCTGGGACTTGAAGGTAGGACATGCAGTCCTCATCTGGGGCCAAGAGGGAGAAGGAACTAATGAGCCGTGATGGCAGGCCCTGGGGTGTCTCAGGGCTTGGGAGAGGAGAGCTAGCCTCTGTTGGTGTGGCGTGAGTGGGATCAAGGAACTGTGGGTGTGTAGGACATCTCAGAATAGGTGTTTGATAAGCCTTGGTTTTTTTTTTTCCTGACTTACCCAAGAAATGTTATTTTATTGCCTTACCCCCACCCCCCACCCCCACCCCCACCCCCACCCCCACACACACTTGTAGGAGCGTACCAACGTGGCCAACTTCCCTGGCCACTCTGGCCCCATTACCAGCATCGCCTTCTCTGAGAATGGGTACTACCTGGCCACGGCAGCTGATGACTCCTCAGTCAAGCTCTGGGACTTACGCAAGTTGAAGAACTTCAAGACATTGCAGCTGGACAACAACTTTGAGGTGCGCTCCTCCCCAGTCTTAAGTTGTTTCTTCTCCTTACTCAGTGATAGTTTCTGAGTTCATGTAAGCTGCTTCCGTTTGTTCCCAGTTGTTTTGTGTCTTCTAGTCATTTGTGTAATTGCCTCTCTTTGGGGTTTGGCAGGTGAAGTCACTAATCTTTGACCAGAGCGGTACCTACCTGGCGCTTGGGGGTTCAGATGTCCAGATCTACATCTGCAAACAGTGGACAGAGATTCTTCACTTTACAGGTAGAGGCTGCCTGTGGCTTCCCAGGGCCTTATGTGTCTATTCTGGAGAGAAGTGAGGATAAAGCTCTGGGTTTGGCTTGGATAGGCCTGTCCATTCCCTCTCTTTTTGCTGTCCTGGGAATAGAGCACATCCAAGGTTTCTGTCACTGAGCCCTCCCACACCCCACCCATCAGCTTTTATGGTGGGGGCAGTAGAGCATGTGAGTTTGTTTGGCTGTGAATACTGTAATTAGCTGGCCTTTCCTAAGTTGTGTGTTGAGAGGATCTCTCTGGTGTGCCAGGAAAATTGGGGTAAATAAAAACACTTAGTGGGGATTATGAGGGTTTACATGAAAATGCATAGGTTAGAAGTGTCTTATGGTAGGCCGGGCGGTAGTGGTGCATGCCTTTAATCCCAGCACTTGGGAAGCAGAGGCAGGCGGATTTCTGAGTTCGAGGCCAGCCTGGTCTACAGAGTGAGTTCCAGGACAGCCAGAACTACACAGAGAAACCCTGTCTCGAAAAAAAAAAAAGTGTTTTATGATATATTTGATATTGGGTCTTGATTTGAGTAATGAATAAGAACCAATCTGGGGAATAATGAAATTTTTATTTATTTATTTAAGCTTTGAGTCAGGGTTTCTCTGTATAACAAGCACTGGCAATTCTGAACTCACTCTAGACCAGGCTCGCCTCAAATTCACAGAGATCTGCTGCCTCTGTCTCCTGAGTGCTGGGGTTAAAGGTGTGCACCACCATGCCTGGCCTTTTTTTTTTTTATTTTTTTTAACTCTTTATTGGGGGGGTCCATCTTGGGTGATCATGAAACTTACAAATCAAGTTGGGAAGAGCAGATGGAAAGTAGTTTAGTGCATTTGTTTTGCTTTGTATGGAGATGGAATTCAGGGCCTTTCCCATGGTAGTAGGTGTTCAGGCCCCAACACCAGTACTTACTTAAGGGCAACTAGAATTAATAAAGAAAAGTATGAGGCTGACACAGTGCTGGGCAAAAGCGTTTCCCACCTTGGAGTCACTCTGTGGCCCTGGGTTGCTTTAGCTTCATCGTTAGGGTGGATCGTGTTGCATGTGGTAGCTCACATTTGTAATCCCAACACTTAGTGGCTGAAGCTAGAGGATTACCTTGAGTTTGGGCACTGGGAACACAAGAGGGCTTTTCTCTCGGGAGCTAGGGAGCTTCAGGTGGTATCCTACATCTGGAAGGAACTTGCCCATGTCCTCCAGCTATCTGAGTCCTGTGAAGAGGATAGCTCAGCTTTATCCATTCTGGATCTAGCCCTATGCTGTGCCCTGGCCTTTGACACCTGTGAGCTACAACAGGCTAATAGACTGACTGTTCCAGGTCCAAGCAGTGAGCTAAAGCTAAACATATACCAAGATTTTTAGCCAGAATGAAGTACTCTTGTCCCAAAAGCTCAGGTGAGAGCGAGATTAGTATTCTGATGTTCATTCACCCCACCAACAAAGAGTGCTGCTTCCTGCCAGGTGCTGAGAGCTTGCTAAGGTAAGTAGTGTGCAGAATCCTGCCGTTGGGGGAGTTGTCATACAGTGCAGTCTGACATTTACCATCTGGGGTTGTGCCAGGAACTTACTATTCAAAACAAAATCATTGTTGAGCCCTGAAGAAGGAATAGCCTTCTCACACTTCCCTTTCTTCTCTCCTCAGAGCATAGTGGCCTGACCACTGGAGTGGCCTTTGGACACCACGCCAAGTTCATTGCTTCAACTGGCATGGACAGGAGCCTCAAATTCTACAGTCTGTAGGCCCTATGCCTTCTCACAGTTCTGGGCCTCATCTCAGTAGTGGGTTAGAGTTAGAGGGTGGGGGTGGGGGTGGGACTTTAGAAGGAAAGGGGGGTCTGGTGGGGGGGGTACATTCACATCATTTCATTCTGGTCTGGATGATGGTCTGAGCCAGGGCACATGGAACACTGCTATCCATGCAGCCTTGGGGCCCCAGGGGATGGACATGGAGGACCTGTCACCCTGTAGAATGCTCAGTCGGAGTCCAGAACCTCCCCCAGTGGTGGCAGCTGTTCCATGCCTGCTCTGTCTTAGCTCTTCTGAGACAGGGAGGCGAGCCAAGGGAACTGTGAAGGGGAGGGGCAGGAGGGCTCTTGCAGGTTTTTGTAAGCAGTGATCTAGTTTCATTAAAAAAAAAAAAGCCACACAGTAAACAGTCAGTGTGTGTCTGTCTGCCAGAAACCCTGATTTGAGAAGGTCATGGGAGAGGGAGCACAGTGTGGGACACAAACTACCAGGAAGCCTCCCCTGAAGAGAAGTAAAGGAAAAGCCTAAAAGCCATCTGTCAGAAGACTCCATGCTCCTGAAGGCCTTGACCTTGTTTCCAGTGCCTCTGTCACTTGTGCTGTGGCTCCCTGGCTTTGCTTCTCTTACAAGCCTGGAAGGTAGCGAGGAGCTATAAGATTAGCCTTACCCTACTGGTGGGTTGCTGTGAGTGTATTGCTAGGGATAATACTTCAGTGGGAGATGGTATACATTGATTCCCAGCTGGCTTGACCAAAGAGATTTTCTTGACTGGCAGCTAGAAGTAGAGCTGTTCCCAAGGCAGACAGCTAGAGCACAGTAAATACAAAACATTGGATGATAAAACAGGAGGGGATTAATGTGGACTCCTGTGGCTGCTCGACATTGGGAAGCTACCTGGTACTAGAGGAGAGGAGGAGAGTTGTAGGGAGAAGGAAAGAAGGTTCTAAGGTTGAGATAAGTGAGGTGTGGGCAGGAGGAGGTACGTGTAGCTGTCTAAGGGTAAGTTACCATTAGCTTTGCCCAGGGAGTCCATAGTGCTCTAGTAGGCCACCCCAATGGAATGTTGGCATTGGGAGCCTGCTTTGAGGCTAGGAGTGTGGTGAGATGAAGGAGGAGGTGGGGGGAGGGTGGCGATTGGTGAGTCCACAAGCTCTTGGGAAGGAAGACCTGAGAAGTGAGGTATCACCTAGAGGGTTGTGGGAAAGTTAGGGAGCCCTGACAATGCAATAGAACAACTGGGTATGTTCTGTCAGGTAGTCCTGTGGGCAAGGAGATTCAGATTTACCATATCTGCCAGGATGGAAAATCTATATAGTAGAGAAACCATCTGCTGTGACTGCTATGCAGCCCACTGTTCCCTAGAAGTGTATCTAGCAAACTGTTACAGGGGCTGGGGACATAGCTCAGTTGGTAAAGTGCTTTCTAGGCCAGCATGAGCTGAATTAAATTCCCAGCACCTAATGTAAAAAAGCCAGGTATGATGAGCACTTTATCCAGTGCTGGGGAGGCAGAGACACAAGGATCCCAGGAGTTCACACACAGGCTGGACTACCCTAAATGTAGGCTCTAGACTAAAACCCTATTTCAAAAGAACTTCCTGAGAATGACACCCAAAGTAATCCTCTGCCCATGCATGTGTACGTATGTATACACCCCCTATGAATACACAGACTTAGATGCTATCTTATCACTTAGATGACTAAGTGATAGCATTCACTGTGATGGAACTTGCTCTAGTTGTTGTGAAGCAGCAGTGAGCATGCCAGGGTTAGTGAGCATTCTGGGCCATGACGCTCTGGTTTGACCTTGAATTCTGGAGCTGTAAGGCAGGCAATGCTGGAGTACTTTCTCACAAGGTCCTGAAGCTGTGGCTTCTTGGGGGACTGCTCTAGCTTAAATAGAACTCAAGCATTTCTATTTCTTTTCTTTTTTTCTTTTGAGTCAGGGTTTCTCTGTATAGCCCTTGCTGTCCTAGAACTCACTCTGCCTCCTGAGTGCTGGGGTTAAAGGCATGTGCCACCACTGCCCACTGGAAGTGTGATTTTTTTTTAAATTGTGTCTTATAGTTCTTCAGTAACTAAGTAAGTGTGAAATAAGTTTCAACAACTAAGTAAGAGATGGGCGGGTAACAGTGTCTGTAGGTGGTAGTGGAGTGCCAGTGAAGAGAGGGAGGGGGAGGGCTGAGGGCATGGCCTAGGGACATCCTGGGCCAAAGCTGGCCAGTGCAGAGCCATTGAGTGGTTTCTGTTGGATGTTAATGTGCGTTTTTATGATCCACCTAAAAAGATAGTGAAAGACAAGCTTTGGGAACCCTTCCTGGGCACAGCACTATGGTCATCCTGAAATAGTATGAAGTGTGTGGTATGTGCACAGATAGGGCAGCCCTGGCATACACCAGAGATGTAAACAAATAGCCACCCCTCCTATAGAATAGTTTGTATAGTACCTCGCAGAACAATGAGATCACATGCAATTAAGGCAGAATTATATACAGTTGGTCAGGAAGTACAGGAACAAATGTCTGAAAGTCCAGTGACTTCCAGGGTCCAGTGACTCTCCACCCACTCCTTGTATGAGAGAACATTCCCAGTCAACAGGCCTAGTCTTGGGGGTGGGGTTCCTTGCTAGTGCTTGCAGCTACTCTGATGGAAGATGACACTATAAAAGCAAGCTTTTACTTGGGGCTTGATGGATCCTAAAGGGCTCCATCTTCCTGGACTCATTTGTGGGCCACACCAATCCTAGTAGTTAGGGTCTAGGAGCAGGCCTGGTGCCCAAAGAGAATGTATTTGCTATGAAGTGGATCAGGGCATTCTACACCCCATGAACATTTGAGCCTCTGGATGTTCAAAAACATGTCTCTTTGCTGTTGAACTGACAGTCTACACTGTGCTTGAACTTAGAGCACCAACTAAGGTCACCTAGGTGCAGGGATATTAGTATTAGTTCCCAGCTAACCTAGTACCTTGGCTGAGCTCCTGCAAAGCATGCCTCTAACCAGCAGGCGGTGCTAGTTCCTTTCTGTAGGTGTCAGAAGCCTCTTGTCCTTGAATTGGGATTTTAAAGCATAGTTTCGGAAACAGCTGACACAGCAATGGACAGCTAATGACCTCCTCCGTGGGTCTTGGAATGTAGGGTCATGGTTAGTATGGACTCTGGCATCAAGCCTCAGTTTGACTCCTTACTCTACCTGTTTACAATGAATCTCGTGCCTGTAGAGTTGATGGTGCCTACCCTGGCAGGGCTAAGAGAGCTAAGTGAGTTATTGCAAGGAGTGAGCACAGGGTGGTCCTCAGTAGCTAGTGACTGTTTCCCTGTTTTGGGATGCCTGTCAGTAACAGTTACAGTGGCTCTCAGTTCTCCACACCCATAGTGTTAAGGTTTGAACTAACTTCTCCATCTTCAAGCCTGAGATTAAAGCTCATCAATCCAGCTGGATGTAGTGGTGTACACTTTTAATCCCAGCACTCAGAGGTAGGCAGATCTGAGTTCAAGGCCAGCCTGGTCTACAAAATTAGTTCTAGGATAACCAAAAGCAAGCTCATCAATCCATCCAGGGAGGCAAGATGAAAGAGACTCCAGCCAGGACTGAAACTTGAAGGATTCCTCTGTCCCTCAACCCCATACTAAGAATTTGGATGGCACAGATTGCAAATAGAGTCTGTAGTTGTCATTAAGGCAGAGTTCTTCCGAGTCCACCAGCACCAAGACAGGCAAGCTTCCTCATTGCCTACCTTGGTGCTCTGGTCTATCTCCCTTGCCCTAACTCTGTGGAGGAGCCTCTGCAGTCTCTTACCTCAGAGGCTACATCTAGACTTGCCTTTGGCAGGCTCCCTGTTATCTGGGTGGAATGTCAACATTGTCAGGATTCTGAAGAAACCCCCACCCCCACCCCCAGAGTTCCCAAATTAGAAACTTTTTACTTCCCAGAGGCTTTTTTTATTTTTATCCCATTTGTGTGACTTTTTCTTTTTTTCCCCTTCACATTAGTTCAACAGTGACTTAAGTGCATATAAAAATAAAACTTGGAATTTTTGTTATTTACTTTTAAAGACTGTTCTGGTATTGCCCATTATTGGAACAGAAAAGGCCTTTTGCATTAAATGTTCCCGCAGGAATGCCTGGGTAGAAGCCACATATCTTAAGTTGTAGCAGTGAACCCTGCAGTACTCCTTTTTATATCATTTGTCTTATATATGTGTGGTATGTGCCCTTTCATCTTGGCACATGTGGAAGTCAGAACATAGCTTGCAGGTTTGGTTCTCTCCCATCACGTGGGTCCCAGAGACCAAACTCGGGTCAGCTGTCTTGGCAGCAAATTCCTTTACCCTATGAGCCAGTGAGCTGAGGTCAGCCCTCACTTCCTTTAAGGAGCCACATGGAGCCGGGTGGTGGTGGTGCATGCCTTTAATCCCAGCACTTGGGAGGCAGAGGATTTCTGAGTTCGAGGCCGGCCTGGTCTACAGAGTGAGTTCCAGGACAGCCAGGGCTACACAGAGAAACCCTGTCTTGAAAAACCAAAAAAAAAAAAAAAAAAGGAGCCACATGGAAATAAATTAGTTTTTAGTGCCTTGTTGGAGAAGAGTGGAGCGGCAGGGAACCCTTGGGTCTCTTGGAGCTGTGGCTGAAAGGCAGGAAGAGGAAATCTGATGGACTACAAACAGCCCTGCTCTCCCTCAGGATGGATGGGCTGGCTTCCTTCCAATCATCTCAGAATTACCTTGTCATAGGCCCAGGCTAAGAGGTAGAAATGAGAGGAAGGCAGAAGGGGAGCTGTTTTCTTCTAAGCTCAACTCATGTGGGATTTTGGTATCTAGGAATGTGTCTTCAGCCATTATGTGTGTGGAAAAGCTAGTTTTGCCGAGAGCTTTGTTGTTGGTGTTTACTATATGTGTTTTTGTCCACAGAACCCTTTGATACGGAGGTATTGACAGAACCTGTATACCACTTAAATCATTACAAAATTCCCTATCAAAAATCATGTGTGCCGGGCAGTGGTGGCGTACGCCTTTAATCCCAGCACTTGGGAAGCAGAGGCAGGCAGATTTCTGAGTTCGAGAGTTCGAGGCTAGTCTGGTCTACAGAGTGAGTTCCAGGACAGCCAGGGCTACACAGAGAAACCCTGTCTTGAAAAACCAAACCAAAAAAAAAAAAAGAAAGAAAGAAAGAAAGAAAGAGAAATGGAGATAGACCACAGCAGGTTATAAGATGCAAGCAGCTTTGAAGATGCAAAGCTTCTAACAACAGATCACTTTAAGACAGTAGTGGTACTCAGATGGGCAAAGATCTAGAACAATCTGGAGGGACAGCGAGGGCAGTTCTCAGTCCATGGTCATAAGGGATGTGGCTGCTGTCCGAGCCAGGAGTTCTATCTAAGAATTTCTTTTTTTTTTTTTTTTTCTCTGTGGAGCCC